TATTTTTTAAGTTGCATCTTATTGATCATTCTTACAAATTATTAGCTAAACCAGAAATATTTGAGGTATCTAATTGGGTTCAAAGAAATTAACGAATACTTTGTTCTCAAACAAACATTGAAACTTTATCGTGATAATTAAATAGACAAATAGGATTGAATTGAGTTGAATTTTTGTAAATGATGATATATGAATCAAGACTTACAAAATAGATGGTTCAGATTGTTGAAATTCGATATAAAGTGGAATCACATGAGTCTTGTTTTCTTATTCCTCAATTTTTTTGGTGACAAAAAATTTATGATCACTTGTACTTAAATTTGATGTCAGCGGTAAGATATAAACATTAAAAGCATGTTCACTCCACCTTTCATATCAATTTAACAATAAGTGGCCAACCATTTAGTATTACGGTTTAGTGATATTCATTTTCACTCGTAAATGAGAGGTCTTAAGTTCGATTCTCGTCAAAGACGAATTTGAACTACATTATTGTTAACCTATTATGAGGCTAAGTCCACCATTCTCTTTAGTGTAGAACTATAGTTTGTAAAAAAAGAAAATTTGAAGATAAAAAAGAGCGACCCTTCAACCTACTCCTCACAAAACTGACTTCCCCAAACCCGAATCGCGCACACACAAAACATAAACAAAAGAGGGAGACCAAGAAAGAATACTCTCTATGCTCTCATAAACCTCAAGCCTTTCTACAAAAATCAAATAAAATAAAATTTCTTTCATTTTTAAGCCCCTCCCTGTCTCCTCCTCTTTGGCCTCAATCTCCACTTCGAGTTCTCCCCCATTTTTCAATCGAAGATTCTCATATATTAGGTGAGACCCAGGTTCCCAGTTCTCTCTCTCAATTTCTTTTGGGTTTCTTTTTTCCCTTTCTGATTGATGCTTTGGTTGTGAATCATTGATTGATTTATTGGTTTTTGTTGATTTTCTGGATACTCATTAGAGTAAAGTTTTCATCTTTTAACTTTTCACCGATGATTTTGCTGCCTTGGGTCGTTTTGTTGGATCATTTCTCAGTTCACTGAATAACCCATGTTTTGGTTTGATCAGTTTTTGTGATTAGTTATTGATTCTGATTCATATTTTCTCAGAACAACTGTGATTCTTTGTTGTTTATGCTTGCTGGGTTAATCAGTTTGTTTAATTTGAAAGATTTGCGATTGATTAATTTGTTTTAATATTTATTTTTTCAGCTTAATTGATGTTTTCAAATTGATATAATTACTTGGGTTTGCTTGTTCTAGTGTATAAAGATAATGTGTTGTTGAATTTGATGGGATAGTATATTATTGGTTAAGTAGGCTGAAGAAACTGCTTGTTGAAATTGATTTTCCTGTGATGGCTGTTTGCTTCTGTTGACTTTTCTTATCGGTTGTTCTAATCAACATTCAACCTGGAGATTGGTGACAAGCATACAACATAATTTATTGGGTACTGAAACCAACTCAGGAGAAGGAAACAAAACGAATTGAGATTATATACGTATTGTGTTCTATGTTGATTGGTTACTCTGCTTAGCTAAATCCATACAGTTGACCTGGCTTCTTTCGGTTCGGAAGAAAAAATGTCTTACTGAACATGCTTTAATTTTCCTGGTGATCATGCTGCACATTTAGATCATAAAAAAGGGGTAATATGCTAATTTAGCAGAAGTTCTGTGATGGGTTGTGCTAGTTTCGGTACCTTGTTTCAAAAAGCAGTGTTATTTGGCTCATCGCAACTCATCTTTGTTAGAATAATGTCTACAAAAACCTATCCTTCTCGTAACCCTCCCCCCGTCTCTTTTGTTCAATATATATCATTTACAGGGTTCCTCTAATATGCTTTAATAGCTATAGTCGTTGGTAATATTGTTTTTAATTCTAGGTTATTGAAGTTTTTTTTTCCGAAGAGTATAGAATATGGTGAACAATTGTGCATTTCTTCATCTCCTAGCTTTTCTGTACACTATTCATCATACTTACTGTGATCATTTGCTATGCAGAGTCTTATGTAGGATGCTATCATATTTGATCAGTGGCTATTAACCTGGAAGATTGGTTTACCTATGCTCAGAGTTTCTATTGTTAAAGTGGTAATTCTGATCTGATTGTACGGTGCATGCCATGTGCTTGTGTTAATTCTAAGTAATATACCCCACCATGGCCTTTGAAGCTTCTAATCAAAGAGAGCTTGAACCCAGTTCATTCAGTTTGGATGATATTGAGTTAAATATAAACTGGGAAGATGTAACTTGTCCTATATGTTTGGATTTCCCCCACAATGGTGTACTCCTTCATTGCTCATCTTATGAGAAAGGGTGCCGTCCTTTTGTTTGTGACACAAACCACCTACACTCCAATTGTTTAGACCGCTTCAAGAGTGCATATGGTATGTCATCTCCTACAAAATCTGTTGTGAGTCCTGCAGAAAATACTGAGTCAAAGGCATCAGAAGACGATTGCAAGCCTACTTGTCCCTTGTGTAGGGGGGAAGTCACTGGGTGGGTTGTTGTTGACAAGGCTCGTGTACATCTGGATGTGAAAAAGCGTTTTTGTGAGGAGCATCATTGTAAATTTATGGGTTCGTATTTGGAATTACAAAAACATGCTCAGCTGGAGCACCCTCATTCTCGTCCTTCAAAGATTGATCCTGCTCGGCTGCTTGATTGGGAAAATTTCCAGCAGTCCTCTGAGATCATAGATGTTTTGAGCACTATACATTCAGAAGTCCCTCGCGGGGTGGTTTTAGGAGATTATGTGATTGAATATGGTGACGATGAGACTGGAGATGAGTTTGAGGACTTCCATGGGGATGAACGCAACTGGTGGACCTCCTGCATCTTATATCAGGTTTTTGATAACTTGAGGAATTCTAGAAACAGAAGAAGGTCAAGAGTTGCTGACACAAGAAGAGGAAATCGCCGAGCAAGTTATGATAATTCAAATTCTGATGAAGGTTCTGTGACATCTGTTGAATTCCCTGAGTATAATGAGACCGATGATGAATTTATGGGTACAAGTGGCTCCTCCAGAGGTGGCTCTAGTCATCGCAGGTCTGCAATGTTCCTTATTCAATTTTTGTGTGGGATTTCTTTAGATTTTAACTTCATTGATTCATAGAATGGTATCTTTCTGTTACGAGTGTGTTTGTACATCATTTGTTTTTTAAAATAAAAATGGAATCCGTAACTCATCCTGTTATGCTCTATATCCTTGAACAATCAACATTCTTGCATGGATAGGAAGTCATGACTATTACGCTACTGCAAGAAATCTAGTGCACCATCTTACTGAAATTCCCTTAAAAAAAATGCACCATTTGATTCATTTTCTTGTTGGACTGATTGTGCCAGTAGAGGAATCTTTTTAAGTGGGGCTTGGAGAGCTCAGTACTGGCACATGAGCATTACGGCTCTTGTTTAACTTTCGTAAAAGATTGTAGAATTCATTTGTTTCTTGTCTTTATCTAACATTTATGCACATTTCCTCTTTTATTTGCAGTTCTCGTAGACGTCGTTCTCGCTTCTATGACAATTAGGTATGCTCTGTTCATTGATCACCTGCATACACATTCGTTCATTCTTAAGTTTCCACTGAATAGAAAGTTCTTTAATAAATTAGTCTGGGCCTTAATATCTATATATTCTAATGTAAAGAAAAAAAAAAAAAAAAGACGGGACTCATTTTCTACGCGGCGTTAGGTTTTGTAGCCCTCTCAAGTTCTCGTATTTCATACATTAAGCCGAACTTACAGTACGTCTATCGATTTCATACGACGTGTATTATATCCTTTGGCAGGGCTCAAGTAGAATAGAAGAAGTGAAGGAAAGAAAGAAGGAGATCCATCGGAAGACGCCAAAGTGGAAAGGCACTGGGATGCTTGCTGTGGATCTCATCTTCTTCAGTGGTTTTCACATGTAAAAGAAGCTTACATCTGGATTGTAAATTGCTGAAATTTGATATGAACTTATGAGATGTGCTAATTGGTCATTTTACATGACAAATCCATTGCCTCCTGTGTTACTTAAATGTTTAGCCTTAATTTGCTTCAAATCTTATAAATTTCTCAAAATTCGGGTCAAGCATGAGATTAGCATGGTTTCTTCTAGTTAAAGTTTGCTGTATATGCACATTCCGAAAATAACCTTTATCCTTCTGCAACCAAATGCTGAAAGTGATCATTCATGCTAATTGCCCATTACTATTTCCGTTGTTTCTTTTTATATATATTCCTTTCTCTCCTCCTTTGTGTCTATGTCTGAAAGGAAGAGCATCTCTCGTTAAAGCATATCCAGTTCAAATCCAAAAAAAAATAAAATTCTATCTTTGCATGGCATTTCTTAAGACATTTGTTGGTGTTAATTGTGTAATAATTATGCAGTTAGCGTCTGGAATCGACATCCGTTCTTAAGAGGAAGCGCGTTGAGAAAATCTCATTTCAATTTTTTGTCTCGAATTGGCAACCTATCAAAATGTTGCATTAACGCACAACGTGCAACAGTCCTTGCTCGAGAGTATTTTTGCTTATCGCTATAACTATGGTGTATGCTTACTATACGTCTAATTATCTACAATGTGTTTTTTCACCTAATTATTTTTAACTTTCACATTAAAAGTTACTTTTTATATTTTGAAAAATATTAATCAAGGTTATGCGAAATGATACGTAGCAGATGATTAGGTATATGATGAGCATTTATGGTGTTCAAGCAAAAATGCCCCCGTCCTGCACTCCTAAGGTACTCATTTTGACGACATGTGAGGACCAAATGCATATTAGTCACAAGATTATATTAGTTTATAGGTCTAAAAGCTTAAAAAACTTGACAACTTAATAAAGCCAAACCATCTTAAAATAAATAAACCACTAGAAAACTCATATCTTATTTTGCTTTATCAAGTTGTCAAATATTTTAAGCATATGAATATATACTAATATAATTTCGTGGCTAATATGCATTTCGATCAAACCCCGACGCCGCGGGCCTTTGCCCTCTGAAAGCCGGCGAAAAAAGTGATTACTTGTATTGCATGATGGTAAAAATTGTAGTTCATACAAACGAAATACTGCCACTTGCTATTTATGCTCAAACAGGTTTTAAAATACAAAAGATACAACTTAAAAGATGTTTACTGGTAGAAAAACTCTCAGAAAAATAGAAAAATACATCAAAAACTTCAGGCTCTCAACACTCATCATTCAGCTCCAGATATCGCAGGTGTTGAGACTAATATGTGCAATTCTTGGGCAGGTTCCGGATGACGTTGCTTTTCATTCCCATCTTACTCCGCATAGCCTCCACTCCCGATCTTCTCATTTCCTTCAGTACCTTCATCCTGACCATTCGTTCTTTTGACTGCACCGTTGCCAATCCCATGCTTCGGTACCTGAAAATTAGAACACAACTTATGTTATCAAATGATTTGTTCTAACCTAGCGTTTAGGGTTTATGCTGAATATGGGGGAATTATTTTGTCAAAACCAGAGCAGACTCAGCATATGGGATTAGAAACCCACCTTGAGGCTAATGCAGCTGTAATGGCGACACCATTAGTAGGTGATGGACGCAGCTTCTGGCGATAATAGCGCAAGTATTCCCTGGAACCAAGTGTTTTGGATGATATACCATCATCAGATCTTCTAGTAATAATGAGCTCAGAGCCACCACTCCCAAGTTCTACGCTGTTAGCCATATCACCGGATACTACGAGTTGTTTGCCAGCCTCATCCACATAACTAAAAACCAAGACAGAAGCAATTCAGCCAAGATATACCAACATATATAAAGAAGGAAAGGAATACTTGGAACACTTTTGACATAATTAAACAGCCATCAACAGAATTAAATATATTGGATAGGAAAGGACAAAAACCTGCTGCTATAATCATAGAACTCTTCCAACTCAGCTTCTTCTTCATCGTCACCATCACCGTAGTGTACCTTGCAGTGGCTTTTTGCCACCATATGCTTCCTAACTGCTTCCAAACTATTAAAAGGATGGCGGCTATCATTGCAGTACAGACACATGAAATCCCTTTTAACCTGAAAAGTAAGGAAATGAAGAGTCATCCAATTTATGAGGAGAAATCCAAAACGGGAACAAGTTTCTACAGGAAAAGAATGTACACATTTCAGTACCTTGAGACCTAGATAAGTAAGGAGGCCTTTTGGATCCTTTAAATACTCGATATCAGGAATGAAGAATCCATGTTGTTTGTGCATGTGAACCATGCAGCTCTCTATGGTGTCATGATCATGATCGCACATAAAGCAACAAGTTGGATCTAACTCCTCAAAGTCGTCATCTTCATCCATATCCTCTTCAGATGCATGCTCATCCACATTCATATCAGTCAAAGATTTTGCCAAGTCTTCGTCAGGATCAAACTCCACCCACTCATCTTCACTTTCATCAGTTTCCTCATCATTTGCCTCTCTTTTCGGGGGAGCTTTGTTAACAACACGACTCGGAAGTGGCCTAATTATTGGCTTCTCTTCCTGTTCACTGGCCCCTTGAGAGGCCCGCAGAATGTGACTTCGTGACTTGAGGTGCTCAGCATGAGCCTTAGAACTTCTATACCCTTTGCCACAAAGACCACAACTGTAGAGCATTGGGGTTTCACTCACACTGTTTTTCTCCTGAGCAAGTGCAGCTTGTCTCGCTATAAATAACGCTTCTGTCACTCCAGGAACCCCAGCTACCTGATTGTTTTCAAGAAAATTTCATAATTTATTAAAACTCATCAAAACACGTCTGCCACTGAATAAGCCGGTAAACTGTAAACTACAAAGGAATGATAGCACGCCACAACATATCAAACGAAAGCATTTCGTCAAACGAGCATTAACAAGACAACATAATGCATAGCCAATTAAAAAATAACTCAATAGAAACTCAAAATACATGAATATTGCTACAAGCTTAGTGGGAAGAACCGAGACCAAGAAATGATTAATTATGCAGAATCTACCGTCCTCTGGTAGACACACGAGACTCAAAATCTCGTGCTAAAGAGCCTGGAGGTTCGAGTCCTCTTCAGTTTAAGTAGTTGAATGGGAGGATCACTATGACTATAGCCCTTGGTAAATTTACCAAAGATGAAAATGATTTATTTGATATTATGGATAACTGGTTAGGCATCCCCCGGATAATTCAAATCGAAGCAATTGGATGTCCGACTTGGGGCAATTGTCACTGCTTATGGACCTGAACCTGGGTGATCTAAAAACACGAAAAAACTTTAACCAAAATTATAATTAATACGACTAATCGCATTAGTTTCGGCCCTTCATGAACCCAGTTACCATAGAGAACATATATGAATAGCTTTATGTGCAGAATTTATAGCCGGACAATTAAAGAATAGAGTTTCATTTAGCAAAGCAATGAAAAAAGCTATTGAATTAACTGAACAGGCAGGTACAAAAGGGATTCAAGTACAAATTGCAGGGCGTATCGACGGAAAAGAAATTGCACGTGTTGAATGGATCCGAGAAGGTAGTGTTCCTCTACAAACCATTCGAGCCAAAATTGATTATTGTTCCTATGCAGTTCAAACAATGTATGGGGAAATAGTGAAAATTTAAAGACAGGCAGCTCAGTTTCATCAGAAAACCAAACAAACATCCAAAAAGCTGCAGGACTAAAATTTAATCAGCAATCAAAGTATTCAAACATCTGTTTGGAATCAAAGCCAAACAAACAAAAAAACATGAACTTTATATTCATCCCAGAAGAGTGGAATTCGTTTTCTTATCCAGCGTTTGGGAAATTCCAATCTTTCGATTTTCCCACATAAAAAAAGCAATAAATCGAATGAAAAAACATCAAAGCAAAACCCTAGAAATAAAATTGTCAGGTGAGGAGAAAAAGATCGGGGACCTTGCGCTTGAGATTGTAGCGGTGCCATTCGGACTTGTAATGGAGCTTCTGCTCCGAGTCGTCCAGAAACTCCTTGTTGCAAGAGTTGCATGTTAGCCCTGACATTCTCTCTCTCTCTCTCTCTCTCTCTCTCTCTCTCTTAGTGGTTTGCGATACAACGGAGGAGGAAGGAGGCGGGGGGTGGGTTTTATGGGGTCAAAGAAAAACGTGCGACGGCTCGCAGTCGGTGACAATTGAAACGGTGTATGAAAGAGGAGCGTCGTCCACCAGGTGTTTGATGGCGCAAGCACAAGCCTCAGCATCAGGAAAGCTTTTCCCAATCCTCATGGGCCTGGGTTTTGGTCCATTGGTTATATTTGGGCTCATGTGTTTGAGGCCCAATACCTTAAACCCAATAAATATTCGTTTTCCTCTTTACATATATGGAGATTAAATATTCGAACTTGAGATATTGTTCAATATTGAAATGGAAATACCACTGTGCTAATGTGTAAGATCCCACATCGTTTGGGGAAGAGGAGGTGATGTGTCTTATATATAAATGCCCACCTCCCTATAGTAAGACGCGTTTTGGATGGAAACCCAAGAATTAATCCTTGAGATATCGTTTGGTATGTAGACGGGACGGGACGGAAAGGAATGGGACGGGACAGGACGGAACGGAACGGAGCGGGAGCAAAGATGCCCTCGGATGGAAACAAGGAGGAAGAAGAAGGAGACGGAGAGGTTATAATTTTGTGTTCCATGGATGTGGAACGAGTCGTTCTAGGGGGTGAGGTGGAACGAAAATTCACCCAAAACTCGTCTCGTGGAACAGCTCGTTCCACCCGTTTTAGACGCACCAAACGTGGGACGGAACGCCTTGTCCCACTCTGTTTCGTCCCGTCTCATGTACAAAACAGTACCTGAAGGCATGGCTCAAAACGAAAAATATCTTACTATACGAACTGGGATGTAACATAATGACTGGTTTGTAACTGAAACGTCGAAAAAGGGAGAAAAATGAAAAACATACGACAACCACTAACAGCCCGACACCGTAAAGCAGAACCCTAAGTTGCACCCTAATTTCGCCTCACAGCTTCCTTTCTCTCTTTTGCCTTCCTCTCTGGTATACTCCTTTCTCCCTCTCTCACTTATCTATTTTTTTAATCTTTTATGTAAATTTTTCATTCTGGAAAAAATTTTGATGTCCTTAACATGAAATTTTTGTTTGCTAAGTAGGAGATGGATCAATTTTAAATTTGAATTCAATCTGGAAAACACTTTGATAATGGTTTGTTAAATCTGGAAATAATGGTTTGTGGTTTTGATAATTGTTAAGGACATCGATCTGGAAACACAAATTTGTTAAATCTGAAAAACAAAGTGTTTTCTTTTGTGTAAATTTAAATTCAATCTAGAAAACAGATTGTTAAATCTAGAAATACACTTTGATAGTTGTTAAGAAAACCATTATCAAAAGATATGCGAAAAGGAGAAGAAACAAAAAGCAGGGACGACAATATATATGGTTGTCGTGTTGGAGCCTGAGATTGATTATGGAGGGAGTTTGGGAGATTGCTGGACTGTCTCACAGGGTGGGCGATGGTTTTTTTCTCTATTTTTCTTTTATTTTTTAAAGTGATAGGTTTGATTAAGGCCTAGTTTGGTACTGAGATGATTTTGAAAAAAGCTGGAAACTATTTTTGTGTTTGGTAAACATTCAGCTTCAGCTTTTTTTCACAGTTTTGGGTGAAAAAAGCCAAAAACAAAAAGCTGCAAAACCTAGCTTTGAAAACTGGTTTTTTTTCACATCTGTTTTACATAAAAGTTCACCAAACACTATAATATTGCTTTTTTTATTTTTTTTCAAAAGCACTTTTACAAAAAAGTTTACCAAACACTCTGCTACTTTATTTCGCAGCTACTTATTCTCACAGCACAGCAGAAACATCTTTTTTTCAAAGCACAGCAATACCAAACCAGCCCTAAGTCCAATTGTGTAAGCATTGAACACATGACAAATTTTCTATGAAAGTACTACAAGCTAATGTGGTAATACTGTACTACCTAATAATTTCTCATATTTGAGAACATGGCATAAATATTAAATGACAATGACGCCGAAAAAAATTTAATTTATTTGACAACTATGGTCTTTGAGATTGAACATAGATTATGTTTAATGAAGATTAATTCATTCCCAAATGGGGTAAAGATCTTGAAACGACATTTGGACATTCTATATATACTAAAAGCTGGTGGATTGGCACTGTTCATTAACAGTGCCGTTCCGGTTTCGTCCCTCATTTTCTTCATAGTTTTTCGGCTTTAGTGGGATTATGCAGTAAATTGTCCATTTTACCCTTCATGATACGTGCTGCGCGTGCGTAGATATTGGCTTATCTAGGGAAGATGCTGGAAGCATCTCTCATTTCTCTCTTTCCTCTTCTTTTCTTCTCTCTGCTTTTCCGTCTCTCTTTGTGTTTGTCTGTGTTTCTGTGCGTGTCTCGCTGTTTTCCTCGCGATCCGATCATTTAGAAGGGTGGTTGGACTGTTTTTTCCCCGCTATTTTCCGCGGAGGAATCACAACGGTTTGGCTGCTTTGGTTGGTAAGAAAAAATTTCAATTGGTTGTTGTAAAATTCGATTCTTGCTAAGTGTTCTCTTTATTTATTTTTGCTGATTTGCATGTGGATCTTTTGTCTGATTTCGTTTTTGGCTGCCGTAAACCTATATCTTCCAATTTTAGGGTTTTGTTGTGGGAGTTTGCAAACGCTTTCTGGATCAGGTATATAACTTATCTTTAAGCGTTTTTTTTTAATAATTTTTGCGTTTTAACTAAAATTGAAAGATTGCCGACAAATGGATATGGCTACGGTTATATAATTTATCTTTAACCTTTTTTTCATATTTTTTGTGTTTTAATTAAAATTTAAAAATTGTTGAGGAAGGATATGGTTGCGGTTTAAGGTTTAGACTAATTAATTTTATTGTTGTTCAGGTTTTTTTTGGGGAAATTTTTGGGTTTGGTTGTTCTAATTATCTGTGGTTTGATTTTTGTCCGGAATTTAGAAGAAGAAGAATGGCCATGATTAACTTTTGGGTTTTCTTTGTCTGTTCTGCATTTTAAAGTTTGAATTATGGATTTTTTTTGTATGTCAATCCTTAAATGATCACTGTATGGATATTTTTTGTGTTTCGGCATATGCCCTTATTGGAATTTTGTGATTTGAGAATTGTAGAAGTTAGTGGCAATTCAAAACCCGTTAAATGGGATGAGAATTAGAGTGATTTGAAATCGGCGAGCAAGTTCTATATTCTATTCTGTGTATACTAAAAGCCGGTGGATTGGCACTGTTCATTAACAGTGCCCACCCGGTTTTGTCCCTCGCTTGCTGAGCAATTTTTTGCCCTTTTTTGGAATTGTGCAGTGAGTTAGCCATTTTTCCCTTTTCCCTTTCTGGTGCCGTTGCAATGTGCTTTTTTCCATTTTGCACAGTGATTCATCGGGTTTGCCCATTCTATCCACCTGTCCATCATTTGTGGGTCTTTGTAATTTTTTATATTTTTTTGGTGCCACAAACCGTGTGCCGGGTTTAACTCCTGGTAATTTTACTGTGTATTAACAGTAATATGTTAGATAATAAATGAGATAATAAATGAGAAGACCCATTCTTGAAAAGACAGAGGACAGGATACCACAAAAGATAGATGCCACAGTTAAGTAAAATGATAAAGATATCGGTTAGAGAGAAAAAAAAATTGATTAAAAAATATGAAAAACTGGTTTGGTGTGTTTGGCTTTTGTTTTTTAATATTTTTTTTAGCATACTAAGAAAATTGATGGACAACCGTTCCCTTCCATTTAAGAAAAAGACAGAAATCAGGGATGCCATTGCAGTTGTGTGGTGGTAGTAACGAAGGCTCATTCCTCGAAAAAGGGCTAATAAATGCAAAGTCGCAGAAATATATATATATATATATATATATGTAAGAAAAGATAGTCTAATCTGAAAGTGTGAGGCTAATAAATGCAAAGTTGCAGAAATATATATAAGAAAAGATAGTCTAATCTGAAAGTGTGAGGTCATGATGTGAAGTGAAAGGAAAAAAAAAAAAAAATATATATATATATATACACTGCGCGGGCAGACACGTGTTGATCATCTCTTGCATTTGGCTTTTCAGCTCTTCTTTTCTAATTTTTTTTTCTTTCCCGCACGTTTGCTCTCTCATTTGTCCTTACTGCCAGCGCATATCTCATTCCTCCGTCTCTGGGCTTTTTTCTTTCTTTTTTTTTTTTTTTTTTTTTTTGGGGTTTTGTTCTGCTTTTTCAGTAGATGCTGTCCACGTGTTGATCATCAGCAGTATTTCTGTTCAGAGGATTTTTACTATTTTTGTTTCGTTTTCACTCCTTTCTTAGTTTACTTTTTCCTCTCGCCTCTTTTTGTTTCGTTTTCAGTTTTCTGTCTTCATCTTCTTATCCTTGCTCCAGCGCTTCGCACACCGCCTTCTTGGCGTTTCAAGTCTTGCTGTTTTCTGGTTAGTTGTGTCTTTTTTGTTGCCTTATTTTTTTGTTAATTTTGTATTTAGAGTTACGTCTTTTGTTTAAATTTGGGTTTAGTTGATCTTGAAGGTTTCCAATTGGTTGCCCTTTTTTGTTTTTAATTTTGTTTTTAGAGTTAGGTCTTTTGTTTGAATTTGGGTTTACCGATTTTGAAGGTTTAGAGCTAACTATTTCCTTTCAATTTTTTATGGGGGTGAGACTTATAGAATAGTAGGGTTTTTCTTTTTGTGTTGGGATTCTAAGTATGACTCTTTCGTTTTTTGTGTTGACATTCTAAGTATGATTGTGTCGTTTGATTCTCATTTTATTTTTAGCGAACACAAAATGGCAAGCTCTTGAAGCCAATGAAACCTCTATTCACCCTTCGTGCAGATACCTTTGACTTAGAAGCATGCAGCTGAAGGAAGATTTGTAAAAAACATGTTCATTTAAGCAACATCAATAGCATGCAATTAACAATTAAAGGCGGAATCATGCTTGTATGCACTTAAAACAAAACATTTACCCATGAAATTCAAAGCCTAGTAGATAGGTGAACCAAGACTCAACTCAAAAACAAAGTGAGTTGAGAAATCAATACCTTTGTAGATTCCTTTTTGCATAAGCAAAGGCTAATCACCCAAAGAGAGGGCCTTCATTCCTTGCATCTTAGATCCATGGATTTGGATGGATGAAAAGGTTTCTCCAAGTTCCCAAAATTGAGAACCTTTAATGATTCATCACCAAGGCATAATGAAGAAGAAATGAGTGACCTTGGAGGAGTTTGATTGCTAGATGATCCCTCCAAGGTGGCCGAAATTTTTGAGAAAAAGGAGAGCTTGTGTTCTCATCCTTTCCCCAAAAATAACCCTTAGTAAATTTTAGGCTATAAAGTCCTTTATATAGTCCCTTCAAATAAGTGACCTAATGGACCAAAAGCCCTATTCTTTTACACATGGCCGGCCTATAGGTTTATTGGGCTTTCAAGCCCTTTGTTTTATTCAAGTTGTCATACAACTTGAGTTAATGGGCTTGACATTCAAATCCCATTGGGCCTTGCGGCCCAAAACTAACCCGATGTCTTTAACGAACTTATTCGTTTGATTAATTAACATATTAATTAATCCTAGCCTTAGATAAATAATTAAACCATTTAATTATTCTTACTCATCTCCGTTGTTTCTTCAAACTCTACCTTACTCGGTGAACGATCCATTAGGTTCCTTTTAGCGAGGCAGTGGGCGATTAAAACTCTTTCTAATCGATTGTGAATTGAAACTTACTTTCAATTCTCCCGTTAGTGATAATACACTTTTAGGGCTTCCACAAACCATGGTTGACGCCTAGCAGCATGTCATGGTTACCCAAGCTAATCAGAAGAGGTGGAGAACCTATTCAGTTTAGGATTACAAATGCAATACGGTCTTTCTCTAATACAATACTCTTGACCACATTATTTGGTTTGATAGTTTATTCATGTCTACTATCCAATGTGAATCTTGTACTTATATGATTACCTTGAATGTGATCTGGAACGCATTCCAACATCTCATTCATACTCTGGCCAGAGATTCTAAATCATATCATAGAGTATTCTCCCTCAAACAGTTTGAAGGTTAGAGATCCCTTGTTGCGCATTCACTTGCCTCCATGGCTAAGTGGCTTAACCCCAACGATGCCATGGACACCCTCATGATGGAGTGACTTTGACATAATCAAAGATTAAGGACCTAACCACAAGACAACTGTGATGCCTCAGGTCAAAAGACTAATTTGCATTATCCCAACCATGAGTTCTCATGTGACATGAATATGAAAACTCTTCGTTGATCGTGTTCAGTGAACTCATTCTCTATTGAGCACCTACGTACTTGTCTTGATGTCACACACACCAATGACTCGAGACTAGTCACTCTCCCTGAGAGAAGACATAGCACGTACTGATCTTAACGGACTGTTAATGACCAATTGACAATCCTATGATCAGGAACGTTTAGGATGTGTCAACGAAATAATGGTCTCATGAATCTAACTTCTTTAGATCGCATTCTTCCAATCACATATTCCTTGGACTTATCGTTTAAGCATATAACATTTATATGAGACGGCTCAAACAATAATGTTTGCCCTTAATATTAAACTAGATTAGTTTAACATGTGAAATGTCCATAAAGTATCATCATCTGATTGGTTTTAGGGCACATTTCCAACAGCAGCTTCCCTCTCAAAATCTTTATACATATTATGCACAATCACGTTATACGTACTGATACATACGAGTAAATCAGGTTGCACCAACAATTAGCTACATAGTATTACATGACAAGATTATTAAAATTAATTCCCACCAACCATATGCAGAAGGAATTCTTTGAATTTATAAGGTCATCATTTGCAAACTGATGCACTCAACCAGTGTCAGACTGTTTTTCTTGTGTGCTGGGAAGATTATCTGGACATAAATGACTAGATTAAAACCAATTCTTGACTGATTGGTCTTAGGAATATGTTCAGGTGTAGATTTTAGATCTTTTTTTTTTAATTGAATTCTAACTTTATAGGTTCTCTATTCTAATTGTTATTACTTTTGGTTATTAATTAAGCTATTAAATTTTTCCTCCCAAACATGGATGGACAAATAACAAATGATTTTAGTTTTCTTTTCAGTGTTTTTTTTTATGCTTTTGGATAAATTTTGGATAAATTTGTGGCATATTATGTAAATTTCATTGTTGCAGGATAAATGGAAAACACACAGCCAACTCCTATTCATCAGTTAAAACCATACACGAAAGCAAAAAAAATCAAAATCAGGACATGCAGGATATGGAAATCGACAATCCCAGGCACTGTTCAAAAATATACAGCTTTGAACTATATATTAGTTGATGAAATTGTGAGATTATTGATTCATTATTTTAATCAAAGACAGTTGTGACATCCCACATCGCCCATGGGAGTGATCCTTGAATGTATATTCACATCTCTACCTAGCACTAGGCTTTTTGGGAGCTCACTGGCTTCGGGTTTCGTAGGAACTCCGAAGTTAAGAGAGTAGCGCGCGAGAGCATTCCCAGGATGGGTGACCCATCGGGAAGTTCTCGTGTGAGTTCCCAAAAACAAAACCGTGAGGGCGTGGTCGGGGCCCAAAGCGGACAATATCGTGCTACGGTGGTGGAGCGGGCCCGGGAAGTGATCCGTCCCGGGCCGGGATGTGACAAATTGGTATCAGAGCCTAACCCTGGCCGTGGTGTGCCGACGAGGATGTCGGTGGATTGTGACATCCCACATCGCCCAGGGGAGTGATCCTTAAATGTATATTCACATCTCTACCTAGCACGAGGCCTTTTGGGAACTCACACGAGAATTTCCAGATGGGTCACCCATCCTGGGAATGCTCTCGCGCGCTACTCGCTTAACTTCGGAGTTCCTACGAAACCCGAAGCCAGTGAGCTCCCAAAAGGCTTCGTGCTAGGTAGAGATGTGAATATACATTTAAGGATCACTCCCCTGGGCGATGTGGGATGTCACAATCCACCCCCCTTAGGGGCCCGACGTCCTCGTCGGCACACCACGGCCAGGGTTAGGCTCTGATACCAAATTGTCACATCCCGGCCCGGGACGGATCACTTCCTGGGCCCGCTCCACCACCGTAGCACGATATTGTCCGCTTTGGGCCCCGACCACGCCCTCACGGTTTTGTTTTTGGGAACTCACACGAGAACTTCCCGATGGGTCACCCATCCTGGGAATGCTCTCGCGCGCTACTCGCTTAACTTCGGAGTTCCTACGAAACCCGAAGCCAGTGAGCTCCCAAAAGGCCTCGTGCTAGGTAGAGATGTGAATATACATTTAAGGATCACTCCCCTGGACGATGTGGGATGTCACAACGGTAATACTAATAATTAACTAGCTAGAAAATATTTTTCTACCCCTATTTTTTAGATGTTGGGGAATAAAATTTAAGTATGCCGTGTTACACAAAATGAACAGATCAGTGTTTTCTTACCTTTTTTATGAATTTTTTATTTTCTTACCTTTTTTTCATGGTGTTACATTTTTTTTCTTAAATTTTTTGGCCTTCATACATTTCTTTTTAAGTGTTGATTAAAATAATTTAATTATTTTCAATAATTCTTTTTCCTCATGCTAAAAGTGTGCTGTTCTTCGTGTTATTGATAGTATAATCTATATTTTTATTTATTTTTTAATTACTTTTGTAACTTTTTTTCCTTCTTTGTCTTGGCATGATAAATTGTGAAGCAAGATGCCGTTGAGGCGACCACATTAAATGTTGAGTATGATGTTATGGTTGCGAAGATTGAAGCTGGTGGATGCTATGAAATCATTGATTTCCGTACCGGTAAAATCAGGGAACAATACAAAGTAGTCCTGCATGAAACTCAAGTTTTGTTTAATTCGGTAACAAAATTAAAAAAATTGGCTAGTGTGTTTCCACCAATCCCTCGCCATCGGTTCTTTCTACAAGATTACAACACACTTTACCCTCGCTTGGACAGGGTTGACATCCTTACAGGTACTGTTAACGTGTCTATGCATATAAATCCATTCAAACGAGTTGGTATTTATTTTCTAAAGTAGTATTTAACAATGTGCTTATATTTATATTTTAAATTATAAGATGTTATCGATTGTATAAGAGCCGTACAGTCCTTGGAAGAAAAACAGATTAATCAAACGTTGCATACAAATGTGATGTGCACATTCAGAATATAGGGTCATTTTTCACCTTTTATTGTTATTAGCCTAAATTGTCTTCGGTCTTTGTTCCTTTGCTGTTGTAAAAATTTAAATTTTTACTTGCGAGTTTTTTGATCCACATAAAAGAAGAACTCACGGTTACGTTATGGGCAGACATTGGTAAAGCTTTTTCTTCTTTGTCAACAGAGGCATTTTCGCTGCCAGTCGTGGTTGTTTTCACAAGTTTAAAAGTCAGACGCTACCTAGGTATTTCATTTAATTTAAAATTAATCTTTTGCATCCTTATTTTGTTCTCTGTCCATACTAAGTCATTTAAATTCTTTTGGTGTTTAACCATTGTTGGATTTTATTATATTTATTTGTTACAATTAGTCATTCTACGTTGCCACCCTTTCTAACCAGTCAATTTGCAGCTATCTGATTATATTGGTGCTCAATGATTGTTGTTTGTCATACTTCTACTTATTTTCTGCTTTCTCTAGTTTTATATATTTAGTTGATTAAGCTATTGATAGTCTCGACTGACAATTACAAAATAACTAAAACTATATTCTCAATCGAACACTCACTTAGGAATCCACTGCATGTCCCAATTAATTCTGTTATCAGTTTATTAAAATTTTCACAAAAAACATCATTTGTATGCCATGCGTACCCTTTTTTTTTTTAAATTACTTTTTGTGATACAATGATGCAGCTATTAAAACAAATTTTAAACTGTATCCGTCATGATTTGTGTTTCATCACTTTTTTTCTGCCATGATTTCAATGCGCAGGCAAGATTGTCTTAAACAGTACCGGTTCATCACTTTTTTTCATTGATCCAGACATCCTGGAAGTGAATTCCTACAAGTCAGTGTAAGTATATTTCTAATTTTTGGAACAAAATAACGATATATCTATTATTCTTGAATGAAAACAGATGCTATTTCTATATTGTTCAAACAATGTGATCTTTTCAATCATGCAGGTTTTCCAACTGCAAAGAATTTCCAAAAATATTGCCTCCGTCTTCAGACCAGACAAATGAAGCTAAACTTTTACAGACTGCGAAAAAAGTTACAATTGATGAATTGGCTTTCTTGGATCCAGATTTGTACAAGGTTTAAAACTTGATTATCCCCTTTAATGTTCCCTTAAAATTTTACAACTGTGATTTCACACATTCAATAAAAAGAATGCATATGATTGTTGTCAGTTTCACACATATATGACAAAATATATTACAGGATGAGACATTTCTATGTAAAGCAGCTGTGAAGCATTTTGACACACGTTACGATTGGTGGTATAGTGCCTGCCCCATTTGTGTAAAACAAATGCATAAGGACCCAACAACTACACAACTAATTTGTCAAAAACACCCAAATCAAATTCCAACACCTTGGTAATATTTAACATGTTGTGCTGCAATTTTGTTACTATGTATACCATGAGTTGAATTTTTTTTACTTTGCGCTTTTCAGTTTAGAATCAATTAATTTTTCACTCCGTCAATGGTATGTAATTTTTCAATCTCACTATTGATATTTTTTTAAACACCTAAATTTCTCATGGTTGTTTTTGTTTTGGATATTTCATTGTAATCCTACACTAGGTTTTTAAATGTAGGTATAAGGTCAATCTGATACTCGAAGATGAAACCAATGAGATTGATGCTTTGATAATTGGAAAATGTGGTGAAAAACTTTTTGGCATGAGGTGCAAAGATTTGGTTATGAATCAGACATTGGTGGACCATCAGCAATTACCAAATGAATTTCTTAGACTAATCGGGCAAAAGAAAATTTTCCATATGCGGTTTGGAAATAGAAGAAATAATTTCAATCCAAGCAATGTCCTCATTCAGAATGTAACCGACGATACAACCATGCAACCAGCAACTCCACTGCCTTTGCCAAGAGAAATCACAGGGTCTTCCACGACGGTTTCGTCTTCTACTTCAAGTGCTGAAACTACTGAACAATCGAATAAAAGGAAGAGGGAATCAATCAAGAGGACTCTTTTCACCAACAATGAGCAAAGGTTTGTTTCGTAACTTCCTTTCAAAACATAATTTTGAAATTATTTTTCATTCATTTTATCTAACACTGGTAGCCCATTTAAAACAGAAAAATGGAAGAAGTTTCAGAGGCGGATCCAAGGGAGTTTGATGAAGTTCCAATAAAGTTGCTCAAAAAGAAATCGTCACCAACTAGCGGAAAACTTGGTACCACTCCTGAAAAAACCAACTAGGTTGCTCTATTTTAAACATGGCTTCTTTTTTTGCTCTACATTTATTTTGATATATATTTAATATCCATCTAACTGTATTATTTTCCTTCTTTTCCCTAGCTTGCTTGCTTAAGGATGAACAATGCAGTGCCAAAACTCATCTCCGATACTGAAACGCAATAACCGTTTTTTGTTAATGTATCAAACAATATTGATAATATTTGGCTGCCATGTAAATGTCTCTCTGGTCTGGACTTCATAATATTTTTTGTATGTACATGCTGGTTCCACTTGAGAGGTAGATGCAAGTGGTAGAATCCAATCAATCACTTTATGTTTTTTTTTTGTCTATCTGTAAAGAAATAGGTTTTAATCTTTTGTATCTGGATTGTACAAATTTAATATTTTATATATAAACCAGTTCCAACATCTTTGTTTACGGTGATGTAAATATTCTGTGATCTACTTTTTACATGTCTTCAACACAGTGTTGCGCAGAATTTCCACAACTACACTCATTCTGAACTCAATTTGGAGCAACATTCGGTAAGCCTTTCTTTTACAGTTAGTTTCATTTGTTTATATTTGAATCAACACCTTTTTAACAAATAATGATTCTTCCAACTGCTCATAAATTGATTTTTTTTTTCTTGCAACTTCGACCGTTCATCTATTGAAAATACCATACGTCAATCCGCGATGTGGACTTTTCTCAACATATGACCATCAAATCTTGGTATGTCTTTCATCATATTTGCTCCTTTACAATTCATAGAACTGTTATGTTTCTTTATATCCAATCCTTACTGATAAACTAATTCTTTGTTCAAAACTTGAACCATAAATGTAATAGGCTAAAATTGTTGTGACCATTTCTCTCTATACAATTCATAGAACTGTTATGTTTTTTTTCTGTGTTTCACCACTAAGATTCAAATTCATATATTTCGGTGAGAAACAAACTTTTATCTATTTCTTGAGTTAGGCAGAGTTGTAAAAATAACTTTCTACATGCTATATGCTATTTAAAAACCCGCAGCATCGCGTGGGCACCATTGCTAGTTACTCTCTTCTAAAAGTCGATGGATTGGCACTGTTCATTAACAGTGCACTTCCCGTTTCGGCCTTTGTTTTCTTCACGTTTTAGATTTTTTTCAAGTTGTATAGCGACTTGCCTGTTTTGCCATTTTCTCAATGTTGTTCTCGCCTCTTCCTTCTGTGAGAAATATACTTTTTGTTGTTTTTGGTTTAGCTTCCGCCACGTGTCAATCATCCCTCACCTTCGCCTTTTCAGCTTTCCTTTCTTATTTCTCGTTCTCTCCCGCTATTTTTTTTTGTTTTGGAGTTCTGGGTTTTATCCCGTTTGTGTTTTTGTTCTCTTTTTTGTTCTGCTTTTTGTCTTTGTATTTGTTTTACTTTTGAGCTTCTATTTTTCCCTGCAACTATGATGTTGTTAGTCTGTCGTGTGTGATGTTATTTCGTTTTGAGCATCGAATTTTAATTGCTTTTTTTTTTTTTTTTTTGTGCTTTTGTGTTCAGCATTTCACAGGTTCTCTCTTGAGGATTTGCACTTGGAGTTCTTACTGTCTTTGTTAGGTGACGGGTTTTTAGACTTTTTACTTTTTATGGAGTTATTTGAGTGCTATGTTTAGTTGTTTTAATTATTTCAGATCATATGTTTCGGTGTTCAGTTGGATTTAATTTTTTCTTTTTTTTTTGCTGGTTGGTTTTGCCTCTGTTTAGAAACTATGCTATGGTGATAGTGTGTTTTGTTCTTTCAATTAGTTTTTACGTTATTTTTGTGTAGCTTTAATTTATTCTACACCTGATAAATTGGTGATTGTTCTTTGTTTGCTTTTTTTTTTTTTTATTTCCTAATTAAGTTGTTTTCTTTGATCTTTGCTTTTTAGAAAATTGGTAGATTTCCTATTACTGTATACCACACCAATTTTTATGTTTATTATGCGGCTGTGTTGTTGTAGTACATAAGCCATGTGAGGCACAATCTAAAATTTTAAAGTCTTGGGATAAAACTAGAGACAAGTAATTGTGTTTGGTTTATTCGCATGTATTATGGTTTGATCCAATTTATGACTGAATGTGTAGCTATATTGCTGTTGTGGTTTAATTGAGTCTAATCTAGCTTAATAGGGATCCCTAATTGTCTTTTGCTTCTTTGTATTAACTCATAGTTTAGTTTATCCTATAGTTGATAAATCAATTATGGTTTACATTTCACTAGGTTGGCAATATTTACATTTGTTGGTGTTGTTGATCTTTGTTTTTTTTTTTTTTTTTTTTTTTTTCCCTTCCAAACTGTTTAGCTTGGTATTGTTATATTGCATGCAGATTTTTTAGTTCAGTCTCTAACTATATTACTGTGGTGCTTAAATTTGGTGTAGTGTTGAGATCAAACTAGCGACAGCTAATTATCATTGTTTCATCAGATGCAGTCATGAATTAGTTTAGCTTATTAGTCATCAATTTTTAATTATAATTTGTTTGTTAGTTTACCTGGATCAAAGCTGATGGGAATTAGTATTCTTTGCTGATTCGTTCATAAAATGTGAAACCACTTCTTATCTTGGTTTTAATGACATGAATGAATTCCGCTTAATAATTAAATATTGTTGTTATTTGGTTATAGGAAAAACTAACAAGTCTTTTCTTCATCTCTTCGGTTCTGTCGTATGAATATGTTGCTGTAGTCGTATAATGTCATAAATTATTACGTGCTCTCATCAAATTAGACATATATGGTTCCCTTTTGCTTTTTTGCACACAGTAGTAGTTTACCTTACTCTATGACTAATAAATTCCTTTGTCGCTGGATATTCCAGTTGTGAGTGCAAACTTTATAAGTTTTTGACAAGTATTTTGATATGATGATTTTCAAGTTTTTCTTTCTCATAGTGTTTTAATTGTAATATTACGTTTGCATCCATATTTTTCATTTTGTTAGCTACGTTATGGTGTTCTAGACAGGCCTATTTAATCTTGAATATTTCTTGGATGAAAATGATGTCAGGACTTAATAAAATATGATAGCATCCAGAGACAATAAACTTTTACTTTAATGCTATTAATAAAAAAAGAGGAACAACTGATTTTATAACTCTGTGTGTTTTTGTTTTACCATCATTATTTCATAGTTGTTCCAACTCCACTTAACCAATTGGTGGCATATAAAAAGGTTGTCAAAATTAAAGTGCGTGTTTGTAGAATATGGAAACCAAAGTATCCATGCATGGGCGATAAATATACAGCCTTACATTGTATATTGGTTGATGAAAAGGTTAGTGATCACATTTTCATAAAATTAGTTTCTAAACATTTGATCTTCTGTGTTAAGGATGAGTTATTTGTTTTAATGCACATGACATGGTTTTTATACTCTATGTAGTAAAGGTTGTATATAATTTATCTCTAAACTCTTTATTCTTCAATTTTATGTTGTCAAATGATAAATTCATTTTTGAGTTTACTCTGTGTAATGCACAGTTTTTTTTACATGTATCTATCTCCTTTAAATTGTTAGTTACACCTGTTAATTTACAGTTGCTATTTACTATCCATGTTGTTGTTCAGTATCTGTCATTTGTACCTATTTCCATGTTATTTCAACCATAAAAGTTAGGGCCATTTACTTATCCACAGTGCTTTGAATGTTTTTATTTCTTATATTTTGATCTCTTTAATTGTCAAGCAACAAGCCATTGAAGCGTCTTCTGATGAAATGGACCATGAAATAATAGTTCCAAAGATTGAAGCTGGTGCTTGTTATGAAATTATGAATTTTCGTACAAACAAGACAATAGCTCAGTGCAGAGTTGTTTTGCACGACACCCGCATCATGTTGACTTCCAAGACAGTTTTTAAGAAATTGAGAAGTGCCTTTCCGCCTATTCCACGACATAGGTTTTTCTTACAAATTATAATAGATTGTATCCTCTGTTAAACAAGCTTGACATCTTGACAGGTAATAATACACATAAATAAGCATATAAATGTCTATTGGTGCTTATTATATTCAACGTTTTGCTGTGAACTTATCAATTTCTTCTCTCTCTTTTATTTTATTTTATTTTATTTTATTTATTTTTTATTTTTTAATTTGAAGATGTTATTGGCCACCTGGTTGCAGTCTAGGCTTTATAAGCAATACAGATCAATCAGAGAATTGATCACAAATGTGATTTGGTCATACAAAATGTCAGGTCATTTCGTATCCATAATAAACTTTAAAATTATTGTGTCTCAATTCCATATGAGTTGTCTAATACTCATATTCTTCTCTTAAAAAGTTTGAACGATTATAAATAAATAAATTAAGATTTTCATGACTTTTCAAAAATTTTTTATTTTTTTGGCTTTTCTTTTGTTACAGAAATGAAGAGGCTATGATTACACTATGGTCAGATGTTGTGCATATCGTGTCTGCTCTTTCATTAGAATAGCTACCCAAGCCAATAATTGTTGTTTTTACAAGCTTGAGAGTAAAACTCTATTTATTATTTTCTATTTTCTTTGAAATCTGTTTAGCTATTGAATTAACTTTCGTTCTGTTTCTCTGTGCTTGCAAAACGATGTCGTATGATTTTATGTTTGTTGATGCACAAAATCGGCGAGAACTTTGGTACCACAGAAAGTGTCAAGTTTGTGACATTCGCTAGATTGCTCTGGTCATGAGTGTGGATAAGTATGTAAATGAATAAAGACAGGGAAGTAAACAACACAAGATGTACGTGGTTCATTCAGATTGGCTATGTCTGCGGAGTAGAGTAATTTTCATTAGTTGTGAAGGGTTTACACAAATACATAGGTTCAAGTTCTCTTTTAGTGAGTTCTAGTGAATAGTTTAGTACCAATGACATTAGGGATTATTGTGGGAGAATGATCATTTTTTATAGAAGAGAGTTTCTAGCTTTGTTTTGATGTTGACACGTGTTGTGTTGTGATTAGCCTCTAATATCGACACATGTTGCGTTGTGATTGGCCTCTGATACCGACACGTGTCGCATTGTGATTGGCCTCCTAGTTGGAGGAATAGTTTTGTGGGTCCTTGACGATATACTGTTGATCGTTGCTCAGTAGTTTCGAGATTGGTCAAGTATGGTACAAATAGTGCTCCCCTAAGTTCTCAAGTGAAGGAAGCTCCTCGGTTGGGGACTTGCAAGATCCAAGCCATTGAGTAATCACGAAACTTCCAAGTACCGAAGTGTGGTGTCGCCTTCACTTGCTTTCTCTGTCCTGTAAGGAGATGTGACATCTTCTCTTGGAAGTACTTTTCCTTCATCTAGGAGTGATATCTTAGTTGGCGTTGATGCACAAGGTAATGTTTCATTTTCATTTGAAGCTTACTTGTAGTTTCGGGTTTGGTCAAGTGCGATACAAACCATATAGTAGGAGTCCCCCAAGTCTCTGAGTGA